GGCCAGGCAAAAATGGCCATATATATTTCAAGAAAAAACAGGATTAAAAATATACATGGCCAAGATGGTGTACTGTTGTTTAAGGCATTTATTAGGTCTAGGATCTCGGTGGAGTTTAAATATTATAAAGAGATGCAGGATTTGGACACCTTTGTATTACAGTGGTGTTGTAATGAGGTTTTTTGTACTGTGTTTGAGGGGGACTTAATTTTTTGTCTTTTGTTGTGTTGATTGGTTTTGTGATAATGGTTTGATGTTTTTTTTGTTATTGATTTAATAAAAGTATGGGTACTTAAAATCTCAAATCTCTCTCTCTCTTTCTCTGTGTCTCTGTCTCTCTCTCTCTGTCTCTGTCTGTCTCTCTCTCTCTCTCTTTCTCTCGCAGCCTCTGCCTTCTCCGAGCGCTATCTGGGTTTCCCTCTTCAGGACGACAGCAGATATCAGGTTGGTGCTGGTTAGTTGTTTTTGGCTCAGACTCTGCTGGAATGTGTTTGAGATGTTAGTGACAGACTGTGTGTCTCTAGTTCTCCAGTGTGCTGCAGAATCCACAGGGTTTCAGAGAGCAGACGCTCATGCTGCTGCACGCCACTGCAGACGGTCAGTTACACCGGAATGTGCGTGAGTGTGTGTGTGTGAGTGTGTGAGTGAGTGTGTGAGTGAGTGTGTGTGTGAGTGTGTGAGTGAGTGAGTGAGTGTGTGTCTGTGAGTGTGTGTTTGTGTATTGTGCGTGTGTGAATGTGTGTGTATGTAAGTGTGTGTGTGTGTAGAATATTTGTGTTCTTGCTTGTTTCTCTTGTAACTATTTTTGGATACTTGAGGTGATGCCGCTATATTCACAATAGAAATGACCTCTCATAGCAGATCATTTGAATGCATTACTCTGTCACTGAGCCAGTCTTCAAACACCCAAATTCTGTTTCCTGCAGCAAATGTTCACTTCCAGCACACGGCCGAGCTCATTAAGAACCTGGTGAAGGTGGTAGCGAATTACACACTGCAGGTACTGAACACTGAAGATGGACGTGTGTTTCAGCATCAGTGTGGCTTTGTTTATCAATGCTTGACTGTAGTCTTGTTTGTTGATGGTTTTCTGGATGGTTGTTCTTCAGATTTATCCAGACGAAGGTCATTTCTTGTCCAAGAGCAGCCAGCGGCATGTGGCTTCAACACTGAGCAGCTACTTCAGATCCTGCCTGCAGGAGGAGGTGCTTCCCATCAGTGAGGAGGAGGAGGAAGAGGAAGAGTAGAGTGAAGATGAGACGCAACACAGAAACACATGCTGACACTGACACACACACACACGCACACATCAGGACAATAAAACACACTGGACAAGCATCCAGAGAACACTCAGATAAACAGAGAGAGCCAGGAGTGAGTGTGTGTGTTTGTGAGTGTGTGTGTGTGTGAGTGAGTGTGTGTGTGACAGAGAGAGTGTTTCTGGCCTATGGATCATTATCACTGGAAATGGTTTGGAATATTTCACATATCATAAATCACTAAGATCTCTGATTGGCGGATGCATTGGCCAGTCACAGCACAGACCGTCGGGTGGAGCTGCTCCAGTCAGCCATTGCATGGTCCTTTTGCTTTGCTTCACTTCTTTTGCCACTTTCTGTCTGTCGGTATGCTGTCAGCTTCCAGAGGAGCTGCATTTCTCACCGTTTCTCCACTCGCTGAGAAGCGTAATTCCATCCGTTGAAAGCTGGAGGACGTTTGTGAAGAGAGCAGCACACGTGCATGACGCTCTGTGTGTATGTGCAGTGCATTGTGGGATGGTGCTGCTGTGTGCTGGACAGAAGAGGGTGCACAGATGTGTCTTTGGACATTCATCAGACGGATCTGCTCTTAGACTGTTTTGGATCAGTTTATTTGTATTGCTGACTGTTTAGTTTTACTGTTGGTGGGGGGATGGGTGAGGGGTTTGGGTTGATTGTTATTGTCCTCTAGTTATAACAGTCATGTCTATAAATAAACAACTAGTCCAAAAACAGCACGATTTCATTTTGATGTGCTATATTTTACCATCAGAGTCACGCAGCCAGACCGTCAGCAGGAGCGACCGCTAACATCAGAATGACGGCACGATTATGAGAACACATTCACAGATGGCCTGGAGTGAATGAATGCTGCATACTTCAGCTCAGTTATTGGAAAAAGACACGCTTTGATTTGCATTACTTTGGATGTCTGTTATTTCTTTAATATGGTTGACAGGATTGCTGGATCAGGAATCTGTCCTGTGAGCGTCAGGTGTCTCCATTAACCGCTGTGCTGCAGGTAAAGATGTGCTACTGAACATCACTGGAAATGGCAGTTCACTGGTTATTTACTCACCCTGGTGTCGCTCTAAAGCTGTCTGACCTTTCTTTCTTTGGCAGCGAGCAGTGACCTTTCTCAAGCTCATAAGTGCTGATCATAAAATATCATAAAATACTCCCGTATCTGTAGGATTGTCCCCGTAACTCATCCACTGGCCTTGGAAACATGAATGAATACTGACACAAAACCAGCAAATTGCTGCTTAATTTGGCATGTCAAGTAGTTCATATCAAGACGGGATCGCTGAATTTCCAGCCAGTGGCAGTGGGAACATTTACATGGGTTTTGTGCTGAAAATGATTCAATATGAACCTGGTTATACACATAAAGCAAACACTTTATACGATACAGATTGTGTCATGGCAGCTTCACAGTGTTAATCAGGAAAATAGTGGGTAATACTTTAGAATACTGTTCCATCATTAATAAATAACTACACAAGAACACGTGTAACACAATATAAGCACTCTACTAGTATCTAACAAGAAACTCTGATTAATGAATTCGTAAGTAATAGTGCTTAGTGGAGTGTGGTAGTTCATTATTAGCTAATCAGTAACTACTATTCTTTCATACACAAGGAATACTAAGAATTACTGTATACAGGTGCGTAATAAATATGAATAATGCATAATGTATAATTAATTCTAAAGTGAAGGTCATGGTAACCCACTAGTAAGGACTCAAGTATTACCAAATTCTTCAGAAGGAATTGCTAATATTTGGATGAGTATTCTAAAGTGAATAACATGATAATTCTCTAGTAATGACTGAAATCATTGTAAGCTTTTGTGGGTTTTGTAAGGTCCTGATTAGTAATTCATTTTGCTAGATTTGGTAACTCTTAAATCATTAGTGGGTTACTGTGATCTTCACTTTAGAAAACTGATCCAAATAATTATTAATTTCTTCGGAAGGATGTAGTAACACTTGAGTCATTACTATCTAAAACCTTTCATATATCTCAAAAGCTTAAAATGACGTCAGCCAATATTAGGGAGTTATGATGCTTTTCACTTTAAAATACTGATCCAAGTAATTAGTATTTCCTTTAGAAGGATTTGGTAATACTTTTGGTAATAATTTTGTAATACTAATACAGGATTTTGGAGTCATTACTAGTGGGTTACCATGATCTTCATTTTAGAATTAATTATACATTATGCATAATTCATATTAATTATGAACATGTATACAGTAGTTCTTAGTAGTTCTCCAGGATATATGAAAAATAGCAGTTATTGATTAGCTAATAGTGAACTACCAGTTTCACCTGAGCGCTATTACTTAATCGTTAATCAGTTTCTTGTTAGTTAATAGTAGTTACTAGGATGTTGATAGTGCATTAGTCATTTGTTCCTGTGTAGTTATTCATTAACGATGGAACAGTATTCTAAAGTGTTACCAAATAGTGTTTCAATGTTGCAAACAAAATTCAATTCTGCTGTAAAGCAGCTCTGAAAAGAGGACAATAGTAGCAGTTTTTCAGTTAAAGTCAGTTCATTGTTGGTTCATTGTTTATTAACTCTGTGAAGTTCATTTATGGAGTGTATATCTGAAGGATTGGAGTCTGTCGAGGAAACACGAGCTCATTGATTATTCCTGACTGCAGTTTCTGTAAGTATTTAGTTCCTGTGTGGGAATGCATTGTAACTTTAGTTTAGTGGAAATCATTTTTCATGTATCAATAGAATGTGTCTACAAGAATATTTTCAAATAAAGTTGCACAAAAAGCTGCACCAAAACAATCATAAAGAGTGTTTTAGTGACAAGCTCTCACATCACAGTAATACAGTTGCAAACTTTACATTTATTTTTCTTAAGGTTTCATAATATTTATCTGATTTATATAACATTTTATTCTTAAAACATGATGAAAATATGTTTTTTTCCTGATTAAAAGAGATTCCTTGAAACTCTGTTACTATAGATAAGACTGCGCGTATACATACTGGGCCTCATTTATAAAATGTTGCGCAGAAACTTTCCTAAATTTGATCTTACGATCATCTCTCAGATATGCGTACGTGCGATTCATAGAATGATCGTACGCACAGAAAATGCACGTACGCCTCTTTCAGATGTGAAATATGAATCGCAAATGATCTTGAATTTGTGCGCAGCTGAACAGTTTCAGATCTCCGCCCTGTAAACAATGTCTAATTAATGTCATTGACTTATAAAAGAGCACCTGACAATGTCCAAATCTTTTACAAGCGGCAAGAATGGCTTATATTTCCAAAAACCTGCAGCACTCGGGCAAACAAAAGTGTGTACGTCTGCTCCGACCCTGACGTGGCGCTAAGCTCTTTTCCACGTCAAAGACCGTTTTTATAAACATGAATGTTGCCGTGGATTTTTGCGTACACGCTACGATCAAATCTGTGCGTACGCACGTTTTATAAATGAGGCCCACTGTATTAAATATCCACACATATACCAGCCATATTTTGTCGAAGAGTTTGAGGTTGAGTTTTGTTCTGTTCAGTGATCTTATGTTTTTTGGCTGATGTTAGCAGCATTACATGTGAAGACCGGCTGGGCTGCAGCATATCTATCCACTGACACATGAACCAAACTCAAAGGGAAAAGACTCCACACCGTCGGTGTGTGTTCAGTCTAGCGGTGTGCTTGCCGGCCTCTGAGAGACCAGGAGCCTGAACCTGTGACTCTTACACACGAGGTTAATCAATGTCTGTAACTGCATTGAGCTGGCAGCCGATCAGAAACATCAGCTGATTCTGCATTTGCCTGCCAGTGTTTCTGTATTTGAAGTTTGAAACATGATTTTAGCAGTTACGTTTATAAGGTTAAATCGACAAATTCCTAATACTTAGTTAAGTATAAATGCTGGTGCCCATACTGGATATACATGAACATATACAGAGACAGAAAAAACATACCTTTTAAAGTCTTTCTGATTCGTAGCTTTACTAATGATGAGACACAATGCACTCGAGTGAGAGTTTTATTTTTTTTCTGTTTATGCAGACTAAACTAAAAAAAAAGTTTGTTATAGTGTTATTAGTTGAATCGATTCAGTATTAAAGATGTATTGCTATATATACACCTATAGATATGTTTGTGTATGCTGTAGTTTAGTTTTATTTGTTCAGGTCATAAAAATGCAGATTTTAAGGCTATAATTTGAATAAAAATGACAGAAAAGGTAGAAAATGAATGTTTGTTTGTTTTTCTACAGCAGATTTCCCCTGTAATAATGTTTATATATAACAGCTTATATCGTGTCAGATTGCAGTAGTAGAAGAGTTTCTCAAACTGACAGGTTGTGAGTTTCAGTAAATGAAATAAGAAATCAGCATCGTCTGACAGAATGACTCGCTGATGTTTACAGTCTTATTCTTTTGGAGAGGATGGGATGGCTGATAAATCAGGATGAGAACGAGCCCAGAAAACCAGAGGACTCGCAGTCAGTGATGCAGCGGGAGCTAGAGGTCTTCTCGGGTCCTAAAATCTGTACCCGACCCGAATCGACGTGCATAAATAAATTTTTTAAAAAGAAAAACCCGAACCGAGACAGACCCGACAGCATTTAATTTCGAACCCGACTGGACCCGAGCGTAAACGGCATTGACGTGTGTACAGCCTGCAGCCCCGCAGTCAGTCTAGCGGGAGCTCAGACTGGTAAGTTATAATTAATAACCATATTGTCCATAATACTTAATGTTTTTAATGACAGTGATTTCTTTCAACTTGTTTAGAGTGACCCTCTACATCAGTCACGCTGCTGCTAAATACAGACTAATGCTAGTGTGAACAAATGATGAAAAGCATAAATAAGAAATCGGAGTATTTGAAGCGTGTCCTCAGACTCTCTGTCTCTTTGTTCAGGTCGGATCGGCACAAATGACAGTAGACGGGTCACAAGTCGATTTCCTAGTCGTCGTCACTGGTTTCCACTGGAACAGGTAGATTGTCAATAAAACAGTCTCTGTAGAAGGAGACGAGTGAGTGCAGCATGTAGCGCCTGCTGATGACATCATGACCCTCATCGGGGAAGATCTGCACAGAGAACAGAGGTCAGAGGTCAAGCGTGAGGTCAGAGGCATGCAGGTTAGGGATGGGCGATACCCCTTATTTTGTTTTCGATACGATACCGATATTTTTCAAGGCAGTATCGTCGATATCGATACCGATTCGATACTTCTGCACTAAACTTTTAAATTATGAAATTTATTAAATTATTAAATTACTAAGAGTAAAATGGGTAATGAAAACCACTTAACTTTATGTTGAAAACGCATTTTAGCCCGTTTAATCCCAAATTTTTCCCAGACATGAAAACATCCAAATGATGTGTCATTAGTAACCCTTTGAAATAATCAATACATTTTTATTTTCTTTTTTTGGAAAAGTGTGTGAAAATTTTTATTTTATGGTCAGTCACAATTGTAACCGGTGGGATAATGTGTATACTGAATTAACATATTTCTGCAGTCATACATTTTTTTATATATCTTAGCCCAGCTATTTTAAACTGTTTGATCACATTCTAGGGTCACTATTATGCATAAAAAATAGGGATGCACCGATACCGATACTGGTATCGGTATCGGGCCCGATACTGGCCTCCTGTACACGTACTCGTACTCGTTAAAATGCCCCGATACCAAACGCCGATACCACACAGCATGTGAT